GCCCTTTGCAAGAGCATCTTGGTAGAGCGACTCGGCCTTGTCCAGGCCTCTTGGTGTAGTGACAGGCCCAATAGTCGTGCCCTCTTGCATGCCGTGGCCAAGCGTAAGCTCTTGTGACCGCTTTACCAAAGTCTCGACGAAGGCATCGTAAATCCCACTCTGCACGTACACGCGGTTCGACGTAACACATGCCTGCCCTGCATGGCGCCATTTGAGACTTGTAAGCTGGTCCATGGCCTGCTCTTGGTCCGCGTCGTCGAAAACCATGAACGGGCAGTTCCCGCCGAGCTCGAACGTCGTCTTCTTGAGATTCCGGGCACACAGGCCCGCGATCAACTTCCCAACTCTGGTGCTCCCCGTGAAGCTCACCTTCTTCACCCGCGCGTCCAAGCAAAGAGCCTCGGCCACAGCCGGGGTGTTTTCCAAGCTCGTGGTCAGCACGTTGAGGGCGCCGGCGGGGAATCCGGCCCTGGTCGCGAGGTGGGCAACGGCGATGGCCGACAGGGGCGTCTCCGGAGACGTCTTGACGACCATGGTGCACCCGGCAGCCAGGGCCGCCGCGGCCTTCCGCAGAGCAAGGGCAATGGGGAAGTTCCAGGGCACCAGCGCGGCGGCCACCCCGACCGGCTGCTTGATCGTGAGGGCTCTGCGACCGGGGATGGCGCACGACATGCTGGTGCCGTGGGCGCGGTCGGCCTCGCCGGAGAACCACCAGACGAATGTGAGGGCGTAGTCGATCTCACCGTACGCCTCCGCCAGGGGCTTTCCGGTCTCGTGGACGAGGATGCGGGCGAGGTCTTCCCTTGCGGCGAGGAGGACGTCGTGCCATTTCATCAGGAGCTTCGCGCGTTGTCGAGGTGTGGTTTTCGAGTATGTCTGGAAGGTCTCGTAGCACGAGGCGATGGCGGGCTCGACATCGGACGAGGTGCAGTCTGGGCCCACTGCCCAGGGTTTGCCAGTGCCTGGGTCGAGAACATCGAAGGTTTTCCCTTCCCGGGCGGGCACAAATCGACCGTGGACGTAGGAGTCAAAATGAAGCAAGTCGGGGTCTGTGAGGGTGAAGGGCACCTGGTAAGGGTTTGCCCCGTGCTGTTGCGTAGTGCTCATGATTCGTTCTGCTTTTCTCCTCCAGGTAGAATGATGGTGAATCCAGGTTCACTTAGACACATGGAGACCCAAGATTATCATGTTCCAGCGACAACGGAGCTCTGCATTTAGGCATGAGCTAGCACCATGTCATTATCTTCATCCCTCCCCGCTCACCAAGGCAAGGGCCCGTCAATACGCTAATTGCTGCCCGATACATGCTGAAGCTGCGCTAAGATCTTTCCCCGCGTTCCTGAAGCAGAAGGCAATCAACTGTAATTCCAAACGCAGAAGGGAACCTATTTGAGTCTCATCACCCAACCCTCTTTACTGTTTACACAGCATTCATTCAAGAGGAAATGCTGTTTGACATGGATGTTCCCCATTCTTGCAAAGGCCCTAACCAGATTACTGTTTGCTTAGATTCCCTTCCAAATTGGTCGATAGACTGGGGAATTTCTCCCCGCTCAAAGCCCCTGGCCCTCATTGATCCCGACACCGGCTGCACCACTACAGCACGCGGATGTGATTGAGGGATCAGCATTCCGAGATCATTGCAAGTATGGGCTCTCCTCGTCTAGAATAGGATGGAAGCACGCGACCCAATGGTCAGATTTAAAGTGCTTTGCAATGAATTGGCTCTTGTAACATGATACATCCAAGTCCCTCAATCAGCAATTATGTGGCCTGCGCATCGTTTGACGAATGTCTGTCTTGCATCCTTTGTAGTTGATATTTATTATTGTAATTACGAATAAATTTCTACACACAACGGCCTCCATCCACCTCGAGGTCTACGCCCGTGATAAACGCTGCCTCGTCGCTGGCAAGGTAGCAGCAGGCATTGGCAATGTCGCTGGGTGTAGATGGTCTACCAAGAGGGATTGTTGATACGAACCCCTTCCTATTCTCCTCGGTGTCCTCCTTGCCGATGAACAAGTGCGTCCTGTGATTATAAATTAGAAATTGAACGATCAATCCATTGGGGTTTTCACTGCTACTGCGCAACTCACATTCCTGTGCTGCCCACGACGGGCGATACAGTGTTGAAGCGAATCTGGTTAGGGCCATATTCCACGGCCATGGTCTTGCTGGCATTGATGACGGCTGCCTTGGAAGCATTGTACCAAGTCAATCTCGGCCGCGGGCGGCTACCAGCGGTCGAAGCAACCTGAATGAAACAGCCTGGCCGCCCCTCCTTGATGAAGTAGGGGACCAAGACCTGGGTGGACTGGTAGATGCTCTTGACGTTGACATTCATGACGAGGTCGAAATCGGCCTCTGTCACGTCCTGCGTCGGCTTGTTCACATAGGTGGCGCCGGCGTTGTTGACGACGATGTCCAGGTGATTGAATTTCTCGAGCGCCAGTGCGAGGACGCGCCGCCAGTCGTCGGGCTTGGTCACGTCGGCGCGAGCGAACAGGCAGTTCAATTCTGAGGCGACGGTTTGGCCTTGTTGCTCCGACAGGTCTGTGATTATGACATTGGCGCCTTCTGCCGCGAACTTGGCAGCAATTCCCTTTCCAAAGCCCGATGCTCCGCCAGTGACGATGGCGGTTTTCCCTTGCAGGCGACCGGCCATTATGCTGAATGTGTGTAGAAAAAGAATATGTGTACAGAAGGGTGTGTTGGAGTAGCGGGCGTAGAGAATGATCAACCAGGTGTATACGAGGCCGGATGGAACCAATGAAGTGCCAGGCTATGGTGTTTTATTATTTATATGTACGTAGACAGCTCGTCGGGCAAGTCGACAATACAACTAGCCCAACCGACCCCCTTCTTCCCACTTAGCTGCAACCTTGGTCAGGTGGATTCCTCCTCGAGCATTGATGCTCCATCACGAGTGGACCGTGGTACATGGCTAGAGAGACTCTCCACCGGGAAAGCTGTTCCAGTTCCGTGATCGGAAGAAACTCAGTGGATGCTGGACAGCGGCACAAGTCGGCAAGCTGCGGCGAAAGTGTATTTATTAATCCAACCGGAGTACCTATAGCTGAAGCAAGTTACTGTTTGTCCCACGACTTGGAGAGGCATTGAACCGTCAACTACAACCATGAAGACACTCAAGATCTTGATTCTCCCAGGTGACCATGTCGGCCCCGAAATCATGGCCGAGGCCCTCAAGGTCCTCGACGTCGTCGAGGCTAGCCGCCCGGATATCCAATTCCAACGCGACACAGACATCGTAGGCGGCTGCAGCATCGACAAGCACGGCAAGCCCATCACGGAAGCCGTGCTCGAAAAGGCCGTCGCCAGCGACGCCGTCCTCTTCGGCAGCATCGGTGGCCCCGAGTGGGCGGGCGCCGACCCAACACCCGAGTCTGGCCTGCTGCAGCTGCGCCATCGGCTGGATGCGTTCGCCAATCTCCGACCATGCGAGATCCTCATTCCATCGCTTGTCGACGCGTCGCCCATCAAGCCCGAGTTGGTCGCGGGGACCAAGTTCATCGTGGTGCGAGAGAACTGTGGCGGTGCCTACTTCGGCGAGAAGCATGAGGAGACGGACAAGGGGTCTGACTTGTGGATATATGAGCGGCGCGAGGTTGACAGACTGGCCCGCGTGAGTGCTGCCGTTGCGCGGATCCTGCACGCGACCGCCCCCAAGGGGGAGGTCGGCAGCAAACCAGTCGTCTGGAGTGCCGACAAGGCCAATGTCCTGGCAAGCGGACGTCTCTGGAGACGCGCGACCACAGACATCTTCGAGCGAGAGATCCCCGATGTGGAGCTGCGGCACCAGCTTGCCGACAGCATGGCCATGTTGATGGTCAAAGAGCCCAAGCGGTTCAACCACAGCGCCGTCCACACGGACAACACGTTTGGAGATGTCCTCTCTGACATCTCTGGCGGCATCATCGGCACGCTTGGCCTGCTTCCCAGCGCCAGTCTGGCCGGTGTACCTGGCGAGGGCTCGTGCAAGGGTATTTATGAGCCGGTTCATGGAAGTGCACCAGATATCTCAGGGAAGGGGCTTGCAAACCCTGTGGCGGAGATTCTGAGTCTGGCCATGATGCTTCGTTACTCATTTACCCTCGAAAAGGAAGCTGCTGCCGTGGAACAGGCCGTTGTAAAAGTATTGGATACAAAGGAAAACGGTGGCTTGGAGATCAGAACTGGAGATTTAGGTGGGAAGGCCAAGTGCAGCGAGGTCGGTGATGCTGTGTGCGAGGTGCTTCGCGGTCTTTTGAAAGCTTGAAATATACATTCGCCAACAAATTGAGTATGAAGCATTAATAATACGCGCCTTTTATCCGCATCATTTATGTCAAGTTGCCCATATCACAGGAGGAAACCGTACAACCTTATCCGAACATAGGTTATGCCGTAGTTCTTATTCACAATACAATTCCAAAAGGGTCGCAATACAAGTCTGGTCTCGGTCCGTTATTGCTGAAAATTACTGTATTTTTCGCTATTTACTCGCAGATTGCCTTGGACTCAAGTGCAACACAGGTGGGCATCCGGAAGTGAAAGCCCCGGTGATGCAATCGTCTTAGAAGCACCGCGTTCCCTGAGTAACGCACACGATTATTAGAGCACCACCTTCGGCAAAGCATGACAACTCTTGGCCATTCCAAGGATGTAGCTCGGTTGATCAGGATCGCAGCTGCTGGTACTAATTATTCAAGCTTGCCCAAACCTGGATCACCCACACGGGGCTCTGATCAATTGTCGTCGACTAGAACTACGCCCCTGGACACGTATGTATCGCAGACTCTAATTGAGGATGCCTTCATGAAAGCCTCCAGTGTCTAAACAACCCCGCTGGTCTCAGCCAAAAGATTACAATAATCACCCAAGTCTGTCATTCTTTCCCCTGATGTCTAGATTAACCTTTATACGAACTGACTGCTGCAATGAGAAATTGTATGCAATCTATACTAGGCATTGCTGACCACCATATGTGGAAGGCAAGCCTACTGATTAGACTCTTTCCAAATTCCAAACTGGCATCCGTCTTTATAATGACCCTGTTTATGGCACTCTGGGCACCATGCGTCAGCATCGGAGTGGGCAAACGCACAGTCTCTCCCCTTGAGACAGCGAGGGTAATAAAGGCACGGGGAAGTCTTCCACTTCGTGAAATTCTGGTTCGGGTGGTCTCGAAATAGTCTCTTCTCCTCGTCAGTATGATAATTGCCACATGCAGCTGCTTCCCCGCAGTGCAGGCCATAGGGGCATGCTTGCGTTCGTTGCATATTACGACGATGGGCTCTGTTTAGATTGTTTCGAGGCCCGACTGTTTCCCAGTCGTCGAACGCTCCCGTATCGATATCCTCATTCCCACTTTGTCCGATTAATGGTTTGGGACGATCCCACCCAGTCCAAGGCTTAGCTTGGACATCGTCGGATTTAGTTTGTTCGGAGGCAAGAGGAGAATTCCTCTCGCCGTCATTCTCTTCCAATGGCCAAAACATGGTTCCTTTTTCGCGAGTAACCAATGTCTCCTTGTGAAGACGAGATGCGTACTCAGGCCACGACTCCACTGTCCAGTCGCCTTTGAACAGCTCTCGTACACGAAAGATGATGTTCTCAACATTCTTGAGATTTGGAAACTCGACAAAGAGTTCCGTCTCCGCTGGCGACCGAGTGATGTAGAATATAATAGGGCAGTTCCCTAGGAGGCAGCTAGAAACAGAATCTTCGAGAAAATCCATACCATTGTTCTTGTCATTAGGGTCGCAAAGTACAACAGTCTTGTCCCCCTGCACTCCCTTGCCCGTTCGTGTGGAGCGGGTGTTGGTAAAGAATATTCGATTAGCTATCTGGTCCAGATAACACACCTGCAGGTTGCCGTCCTTTCTCTTTTTATGTTCATTAGAGATGCCTGACTCCCAGGCCCAGACCTCTACGGGGATGCCACACTTTAGCGTTGCAATGATTGGCGGGAGCATGTCGCGATCTCCGGAGATCACGATAAATGTCATGTTGTCCAGTTGCTGTTTGATCTTCTCGTCATATTTAGCACCAACTGCGAGCTCGGTTGCTTTGCAGCTAATGTCCGTTGCCATAGAGTTGTCCACCTGTTTCTCCTTTCCATTATTGGCGCGGTTATACACATTGACCTTGAATCCGAATCTCTTGTATGAGTTCCATACTGCGTCGTTGGGCGGCGGGCGCGAGCCGTAAAGGAATGCACTTTCCACCAAGCGACCCATCGAGATTGTGCTGACAAGCTCGCCGATGTTGACTCTATAGCGCGGATCCTGGTCGCAGTCTTCGAGCTTGAGTAAGTGGCTCTTACCCGAGGCAGCGAACTTTTGGGCTTCGATCCAGACGTTAGAGTCATCCACGAAGATCATGCAGGTCTTTTTCACGTCGTTACTCATGTTGCTGCAGGTTCAGATGAAATCGTACTTAGTTGGGTCGAGGATGGGCGGGCAAATAGTTCACAAGGCGAAAGAGTGATGATGAAAGAGGAGCTGAAAACGTAGCTCATGGAAGAAGCGGCCAAGCAGAGGTAAGATACAGTGTTTAGGTTGCCCTCTTTATAACCAAGGCATTGAACCCCAAGGTAACAATGTTGGGCATCTTTGCCTTGGTGGCGCACGGAGGTGCAGATTGAAGGGCCACGTGGATGGATCGCCGCCTATCATGAAGAGCCATTATTGGCAAGAGGTGTTGCAGTAAGCATGCAGGTATCGGATGAGAGCCAAATATTGGTTCGCTGTTGACACACTTTGGATGTGTCGTCCTGGTATTGGTTCCGCTTAGTCCTTCTTCAGTGAGGCGCCCTACAATGAGGCAACCGAATAAAACCACGTTAAACCCAAACATTCCATAGAGCCTTATCTTGTTGGTAGAGTGTACAGCCGGCTAGCCACGAGGCATGCGCAGGCTTTCGTTGTGGTTGGGCGAGTACTTATAAGGCGCTTAGTGTGCTGCTGTCAGATTGCTCTCAGCGTATCCGCTGATATTCTCACTGCGTCTGTCTGAGCTACGACGGAGGCAGATCTTGAATTCGTGTATATTTCTTCATGATAAGGTCTTTGCCATTATGGTCGATTGTGAGCTTGAAGATCTCCCTCCCTGAAAGTTGAAGTATCACTTTCGCTTTAGAGGTAGGAAAGCTAGAAAGATATCTAATGCTTATTTTTAATTATCCTAATTAATACTATATTCCTAGCTAGTACATTAATATTACCTTAGTCAGTTTAATTACCTATAAATTAAGTTAATTTATTAATTATATATATAATTTAAATATAAATATTAATATTTTTAAAAACTTTAATAAAAATCAATTTATATATAAATTAACTATAATTTTTTTTAAAGAAAAAAATTTATTATTATATATATATATTTTTTTAAATATAATTTATAGCTTATACTTAAACTTATTTATCACTAGCCCGCAAGTATTATTAATATTCTTAGTATAGCTGAATAATGAACTATATTACTCACGCAACGGGAAACACGCGAATCAGGCACGGATAAGGAGTCCACCTATATTAATACTCTTTGTAATATGCTCTCACTCTACTGTTATCAGCACGTGGGCTGTTAGATCGTGGATATGTAAGAGGTAACTAGTATGTCTCCGATCAATGAAAATGAGAGAAATCGAGACTACAGCCCACGAGGGACGCGACACTTGAATGTCTGAATTGCTGTCAAGGCGAAGTTTCTAATGAAAGAGTTGTCCAGGGGTCGGTCAATTTATGGCTGGATGACGTTGGGATCTTCAGCGAGAGGCCCGGAACGAGAAAGTGCAGCCGCACAGAACCTCGAGGTTGGAAAATCTCTGACCATTCAGGTCTTCATATTACTCTTTCATTTACAAGGATCAAAAATGCCATTCGGAACAGTCCGAAAAAAATGTGACTGCTCACTTCCAATACAGCCACCAACGAGCATTTTCCATCGCTTTCTTTGGGCATTTTTCCTGAATAATTGCACACGGTGAGAGGCGGAAAAGCAAACACACTTGTTCTCACTAAACCGACGTTATTCTTCCGCAATTGCATATTTTGTTCATTGCCTTCGGCTGACCGAAATCGTCTGCTACTAAGGTATGTACAAACAAGCGGTCCTATCAAGGACTGATTCGCAAAATGCCATACCCAGGTAAATATGTCAGTGGATGATGCTCCTAACAAGGCATATACAGTGTTTCCAGCTCTTCCCACTGTAGTCATTGTCCCAAAGCAAGGGTCGGGAGGACCTTTGTTATGCCAATTTGTGAAAAAAGAAAGCATAAGCAGGCTTTTCCAACCCAGCTTGATTGCCCTGATTGCTGGCCTCCGACAGTGCCCAATCTCTCCTCATTATAATACGATAACGGAATCAAAAAATTATGAGTGACTGGCATGAAGATCTTCTAGTGAATATAGAGTCCCAAGTCCGTGCCATATCATAACAGTCTAGAGCCATGCACAGTACGAAACGCGGTAGTAACAACGACGGTACTTAGCCGAAATGACCTCGCTCACCCGCATATCCGGAAGAACAAATTTTCCCGTCAATCATGTTCATGTAGCTCCAAGTGCGGGGAGATCGTGAGAAATCTGGGTTGCAATCTGCGGCTATTTACCCCGGCAGTCAACATTTATAAATTGAAAGCCAAGCCTCGAGCTGCTGGAGACGTGATTTGAGGTACTTGCAATCCAAGATCTATTTCATCCGATTTTCAAATATCGTCTGACAAAATGAAGTTCCTCAGAGCTGTAACAGCGTCAATCTTCTGGCTTTCTAGTATGGCCACCGCTCTTCCGACAGCGGAAGGACAGATTCTGAGTTCAAGAGACAGGTTCTTCACCCCCCATGCGTATCTTTCTAGGCCGTCCTCGCACTAACACAAACTCAGTTTAAATAGCTCGCGGCTGGTATACTACCCAGCTCCTAAAAACAATTGTCGCGGAATCGGATTCCTCGTCCTTCCCGGCGGAGGATATTCTTACGTCTCACTTCCTAGAGAAGGGAGCAACTCAACCAAGTACCTAAATGAGCGTGGGTACGATGCCTGGGTACTAGACTACGCGGCTGCCGATAAAGCTCCCACTCCATTATATCCGGCTCCTCAGAATGAAGCACTGGAAGCGGTCCGCTACATTCGATCCCTGAACAAGGTCAAGAAACTTGGCATCTGGGGATATTCAGCTGGAGGCCACCTAGCCGCCACCACAATCACCAATCCCGAAGCCGAGCTTGATTTTGGTATTCTGGCTTACCCAGTGATTACTATGGAGGAGCCTTTGACGCATCTAGGATCTCGGAACAACCTAATTGGCGAGAATCCTTCCCCTGAACTAGTAGAAAAACTGTCTGCACAGAACCTAGTCTCAGAGTCGACGCCGCCCATTTTCTTATTTCATACGGCCAACGACGCAACCGTTCCAGTTGAAAACTCGATCCTCTTCATTCAAAGTATGATCAAGTATGATCGGCCGTTTCAGAGCCTTATTCTTCCAAAGGGTAGCCATGGTATCGGACTGGCGTTTGATGACCCAGTATTGAACTGGACATCTGAGTTGGATCGGTGGTTGAAGTATTCTATCTAAGATTATATTCAGACCTCTTGCTGTGGTTATCTCAGTCTGATTAGAGGAAGAGTCGGTTACAAGTTTTAGACTATTCAAGTTTGTTATTTGGGTTGAAAAATAGGAATCAAAGTAGGATCTTCTAGGCGCAAATTTACCAAATTCTACCACTTGGTGCTCTTGCAGGCCATAATCTATCAACTCCAGACAATCTTCTCGGGGATTCCGGGACAATGCACGGAATCATTCCTTATATATATTAGAAATTAAATCCATGCGTTTCTACTAATACTTGCATGCATGAATAGGACTTTGGCGTTCGAATTGGATTTGAATATAATGTCAAATTCGGACAACCGGGCTACAACACACTAAAACAGAAATATGATCTCATCCGACAAATATTCCTAGTTTTTTGTCGCTATGTCACGCTCGCTTCTTAAAAGTCCAATGTCGCTAAGTGCAACCGAAGCCCCATCCTCAGGTTCAGTGTAGTGAACTGAATACTCCTTTTGCAACACAATTCCAGACATACCCTCCTTTGTGGACCGACTGCAGTCAAGTTTCGGTGCGCCAGCATCCTGGGCTACAATTTCCGCAGTTTTCCGATGTCTCGAGCGTATTCCACTTGTATATTGATAATCTGCTTGGACCAAACTTCGAGAATTGCTGTCGCCCAAGGCCGGGAACATTCTGACAAGGAGTAGGCGGACCGTAGGGAGGCATGCGCACATGACTCCGACAGATATCTCTATTATCGACCACATAGTGACATCAAAATAATCCCAAGTGGCATTCGATGACATCGCGAAGTTGACAAGTGACTTTAGGCGTAGAATGCTGATGATTGTTACACTACTCGGCGTTAGTATTGTTCGAAAACAACATGAAATCACCTGGAGGGGGGGGCTTTTATGGCACCTACAATGCTCCCACGAGAAACATTAAAACAACTCCAATCTTCTTTTTCCACTTCAACTGCAATTTCCTGAGCTGGAGTAACGGGATAGCAAGAATCCACACGTCCAAGGCGATACCGGACGATGCATTGGCCCAAGCGATGGTATTTGCATCTAAGCATGTCCCATCATGCAGCCCATCCCACTTTTGCCAGAAGTAGGATATTGGTTGGCATTGGAAAATAGTAAGAAACACAAACCCGACCCCCCATAGAGCTGTTACTGCAAAGGTTCCCCACAGAACCTGTTGAACAACACGAGTAGGGAAGACCTTGAGGTAGAAACTGAGGAATAGCAGCTTCACAAGTGTCGTCAATGCGAAGTATAGAACAGCAGTTATAAAGAAAAATCTTATAGCGGTCGTGATCTGATCCGGTGTCAGGGTCCAAATGTCCCTACCCAGCCCATTTGGTATTGTTCCGTTGGTGGTAATAATCAAATTCGGTATCACGACGATCATGATGGCGAGGGTTAACCAATCATCCATGGCGAGGATCGCATTAGATATCATTAACTTGTATCCAAAGCGAAGCATGACGAATAGCCCGGCGACAGTCCCAACAGTGATCGTGGCGACCTTCAATTCAATCGACCGGTCTCGAGCTGTCTCATCGCAATCGATACGGCTTATGTTCATAACAACTATCACAGAAAGGTGTTAGATATAGAGTCCGTACTCAAGGGGCACTCGGATGTGGGGAGTCGGCGACCTGCCTAAAGATTCTGGTATTGTGCATTTTGTCTCAACACATGAGGTGACATTGGCCGAAAATGCTGCATTGCCGCATATACAGGCTTGATGATCAAGATCACAAATGTTACCTTGAATCGCCGAAATGATACAAGGTTTCTGAGCATAAAGTTAGTATTGGCTTCTTATTCCTCATCCCCCATCATCCCCGCCGTCTCTGTGGGTTGAATCATATGAAACTTTTGCTTACCGCACAGTCTGGATACGCTACCAGCCCTGGCAACGCATCGTCGCTTGTAGATGCAATGGCATTAGATAGGAATAGTAGAATTAGCCAGAAAATATGGATCTTGAGAGGACTCGGCATGGCTTTCCCGGTAGCACTCAGTAGTCTCTACCTCAGACGTAGATAGCTGCTCGGTATTGAATGAAACAAGATGTGTTTGGAGGGAGGGACTGATTAAATTAAAGGAGAAGCACATGGCATGATGCAGAATTCCCTTATTCATAAATAATGCATAAAATTGGGCAGAGAGTCCTAATAATCCCCCTTCCTAGAAGGCCAAGTCCCTGCCTGCTCAAGATGCTGGTTGAAGAATGAGATGCCTAACTCCTTCTACCCGATCGACCCCTGTTTCCCCGCATTCTCCAGAGTTAGTAGCACATGGCCCCCCTGGTTTTGTGGTTCTCGAGGTCCAGCTCATGGCATGCCCACGAAATCCCTTTGGGGGCTTGTGCAGAAGGGTGGGTGAGAAATATGCAAGGGACTTTAGAGTAGACACCCCAGCAGACACATTCATCACAAATTTGAAACGATAGAGTAACGTACGATATGATCTTCGGGTAGCAATCTAGGATACTTTTGCTATGTGGGTAGATTCTCGAGATTTGGCCGTGTGTGAGCATCTCCAGACCATGATCTCTCCTATTTCCCGACCCTGTTCTCCATTGTCGATCATTCGACGAATTAATAAAGACAACCCGAGATCACAAATCGAGAGCCTAATTGTTTTTCACAAAATCCAATAACCGTGTTGCCCCGGATATTTGGTGCTGTAGCGTAGGCACTAGAATGGCTCCGCGGTTGGAAAAAGCCGAGGGCTAACATGCCAACAACATGTGAAACCAACCTCCACACCAACTCCATGGAATATAGGGGCTAACAAAAACTCCCAACGGCCCGTTCTCGAATATGAGCCGGAAACACAGCGGTGAGGAGGTGGCACACCGTTCAGGGGTAGCGTGCCGCAACATTGCTAGCTGTAATGTGGATGGCTGGATTGGGAAAAGTCAAGTTACCAAGAAGGCACAGTGGCCAATTTCATTTAGCGAATGACCATATTCGTTCTGAGAGTTGGATTCTCTAATGGCATCTGTCTATCTAATTACCCCACGGAATTAGCTAGGGTGCGAGCCTTTCTTACAAGGTGAGGATACGAGGGCTTATGAGTGTCCCTTTGGGCCGTATAGGGAATGCAGAAATTGATTCCTAGGAGCCACATCCATAAGTCCAATGATCGAGAGAAAGATAAATCGTCTGCACTCTCAAACCAATATGTTTGAAAAACAACTGCAACACCTGTGATAAAGATGCATTTCCTCAGTAAATGCCAGACTCTACTGTCTCTTTCAAATCTTCTTTCCATGTCAGTTGGAATGAGGCAACCCGGAAGCATAGGTTGACCGTAGAGAGCAGGAATATCACAATATCACAACATTACTTGGATCTAATACCTCCTCGGGAGGCTGGCGGCCATCGTATCAACATTCATAAAAGTACTACAGACAAGTGTGCGTGTCTACGCGTCATCACATCGGCCGATGCATCGACAAGCAAATTTCGGCACGGTGACAAGCACGTTAATGTTAGGAAAAGACCTTCGGTAGTATGAAAATTTTCAATTTTGTTATTTCCCTGGTATTCAATCTGGAGGCCTCCTATAGGGCTACCTCGGTATGGGCATGTTTCTTGGGGAATATCTGTCGACAATTACTGCTTCTCCTCGCTTGGGCTTGCATCACTTGGGCCCTCGATCTGAGCAGCCAGCGTGGCTACCACTGCTTCAAGCGCAACTCGGTCCGCACCACGAATTCTGTTAACAAGCCCGTCAGAGGTAACAGTCACGGACTGACGACCCTCCAAGCCCTTGACAGCCACACCCGTAGGAGCACCCTTCTGGAAGATGACAAAAGTCGGCATGGCAGATACACCATAACGAGCAGAAACGTTTTTCACATGATCCACGTTGACCTTGGCGAAAGCGAGCTGGTTCTTGGTTGTGTGGGCGTCGGCCAGCTTGGAAAAGATGGGCGCAATAGCTCGACAGGGTGGGCACCAGTCGGCATAAAAGTCTACAACCACATGGGAAGTCGAGGACAAGATGGAGTCCAGCTCCTCAGCTTTGGCGATCTTGAACACATTGCCCGAGGTCTCGGGGATTGGTGTGCGGTCTTGGAAGAGTTGCTAGCGGCCATCACGTGTCAGCATACTCGGCTCCCGAGCGACCGACCAAGCGCTACGCCAGCGACGCGCAGGTAGGATGACTTACCCCAAACACATAGATGGCAATGAATGCCAGAATAACTATGTAGATAGAATCCATGTTCAATGACTATTAGGCAGCGTCGAACGCTACGGGTGAGTGAAGGATACGGTATGAAGTGCTTGTCGATACGTGTTATTCGCGGCAGCGCAAATCATGTGATGCCCGGCGGATCCGTCATAATTACCCCTTCATCCAAGATGTCATGTGATGCGCACTCAGTCAAGGCGGGCAACCACGGCAGAATTTCTCCCCAAATTGCTCCCTTACTAAGCGACCCACCTCCATTCAATTGATCTACCCTATAACATCGAGTCGATGGGCTCTTTTTTCTTCACTTCGTCATTATCTACTAGTTTAGAGAAGATAATTCATAAAACAATAGCTAGGGTAATATTAGTGATATTTTTATTTCAACATAACCTCTATTTTCTGAATCGTTCTTACAATTATCAATTACTAAGTCATGTTGTTCGTGAATCTTGTGCGTGTATGCGGGCTAACTCCAGCAGCATTCCTAATTTGATCAACCAGCGTCTAGTCTCAATTTTATTTATTAAGTATATTATACCAAAATATATTCTTAACGTTAAAAATCAAAATGCTTTTCTATTTCCATACTTTATCTAACAAGTATTTAGATGTTTCGCTGCGCCGAACAATGCGCACGGAAGAAGATTATTCCGGTTAGAGCCAGCTTTCACCATTCCCAGAAGCCCCCTTTCAATCCTCAATCCTGAGCCTCTAAAATTGATTTTCCAGAGGCTGGAACTCCCCTTTCTATTCACATCAATGCATTAATGGGAGTTCAGAAGACATTGTGCAATTTAATAATAATATACTGGCTGTCTGCTTTATCAAGAACAATCGATTCATCCTACATTTTGGATAAGTTCAATTATGAAAACGACTAAGGGTCGTAGTACAAAGCAAAGTCGAGACCAGAAGTCTGGCAAATCCCAAATACCTATCCGATCGGGGACAACTTTTAAATGGCGGATCCAGCAGCGTGGCTCGAAGGATGATAGTGACGGGGTCCCTGATAGGAAACCGGCCCTGAAGCGGCATCAGCATCAGCTGCAGGTTACACGTACCCAGGGTCGAAGATGGGACGATCCTAGCGCCTCACGACCCGTCGGCTCTGAGCTTTCTTTTGTAACTTTCGCCGAAACCACGAAACCTTACACGCTTGAGAATGCCGTTCAATGTTCGTCTGCTAGACAATTTTTTTCAGAGACACCGTTTATGCATATTAACTATGTGAGCAGATCTCACACATATTAGAGACTCGTTCTATCCAACCGAAGTATGTGTGCGGCACACAGCCGTCGACCGGTCACTCTACCTCTTTCTCTTCAACGACCCCCTATACTTCCACGCTATCCAGTTTGCAGTTCTTGCATACAAGGAGATGCTGCTAGGCCTACCAAGAAGCAATGAGACATACAGGCACGGGGCCAAGACCTTTCAACTTCTTCGGCAAAGGCTGAGCTCGCCTGATCAGCTTATTGCGCTGTCTGATCCGACCGCGTTGGCAATCATTACTCTTGCACATGCGGCGGAAGGATCCGGAGATAGCAAAGGCTTCGAAGCACACGTGCAAGGTCTCCGGGCACTTGTAGAAGCGCGAGGGGGACTGACATCTTTGAAGTCAGACCTCCGCGAGATGCGAACAAAGATATGCAGGTGAGAAACCTAAGCTTTATCTGACTACCTATTCAAAGTGGCTGATTGTTTCTTCAGAGTTGATAGTGCCTTCGCTTTTCTTGAGGACCGGCCTCCGATGTTTTTCCAGGAGTCAATATCATGGGATCGGTACCTGGTCGACCAAAACGAGCCGGTAGACACTGGCCCCATCAGCATCCGGCTAGAGGAAATACGCTCGCTTGAACCGAAACTCGTTAATGTGTGGCTGGACATGCGGCAATTCGCGTTCATGTGTAACCGCAACCAGAGATCAAACACCCGGATTGACCAAAGCACGTACGGCAAGATTACAGTCTCGATGCAATATCGACTCCTCCACCTCTCCTTTGCGGAATGCTCCCTGAATAATGCTCTGCGCATGGGTTTGCTTGTTGTGATGACGAAGCTGATGTTCGGGTGGCATCCTAACAATAAAGCTCAGCGTCGAGCCTTGGTGCGGTTTGAAATGGCGTTGCTCCAGCTGCGTAGTGTGGTTGAGGATGTTCCCTGCCCGCTCTTGTTTTGGATGATCATGGTTCGGTTCCAATTTGGCGTTCCTGAAACGGCGGATACATGGCTTGAAGCTTGGCTTGCAGATACAATCAAGGAATTGCCGATCTCTTCGTGGTCTGAGGCCAGGGCGTTTCTTGTTTCGATGGTCTGGTTTGAATTTTTTGGAGACTCAGACGCAAAAATTGCCTTTGAGGCTGCGTGCCCAAGGAATCAAAGTAGTGATTAATACCACCAAACCCATTGGAATTCGAGGATTGTTTTCCTCCCCGGTTGTTATGTCACATCACAAATGTATGAACCACTTTCGGCGATGCCGTTGTTGGTCCTCAGCCAGTAATTCTAGCCGTGTTCCACGTTGTTAGTCATTTAGAATGACATATGGCAACCGGCAACAAGACAGTCTGTAGACCGGGGTAGGAACGGAAGATAGCCATGCAATTCGATCACCTTCGTTCGTGACTGCTTCCTAGGTATGCGTGAACATGGGTTGTTACCCCGCAGCAAGGCAGATGCCTAACATTTAGGCTACAGCGCTGTTCGTTCCCTGTATCTCTTGCATCATAACATCCAGCTGCCCCCTCCACGAGCGAGATGACTGGAACTTTGCAGAATGGCAAAAATGGAACCGCTCATATTATTTTGTGAAATAGTCAAGGATTACTTCTGGCGTATGGGTTCACTTTTGCTTTGGCTCCCAAGCCTGGCATGATGTGTGGAGGATGGCGTATTAACACCGGTTGGTAGGGCTGACTCGGAGTGGCAGTGCCTGAAGGGCGACGTATAAGTAAGACACTGCCCCATCTGGCTGATCGATTTTAAGTAGAAGCTGTCGCTCAGGTATTTTCAGTTCCTCTGCGCGTCAAATGATCGCGCAGGTCTAACACAGATGGCTTCATTCGAGTATTCTCGCCTCAATTTGGAGCGGCCGTCGTTCCGTCTCCTACGGCTCGTCGCCGGCCATGGCCCAACCATCGAATGCGAAATATTCCAATCCTTCGTCGCCACCGCGGGGGGAATCCCGTACGAGGCGCTGTCCTACACCTGGGGCGGCAACGACAAGCCCGAGACAATCGTTGCCAACGGGAAGAGGCTCGCCGTGACAATCAACCTCTACCAAGCCCTCAACCACCTGCGACTACCACACTGCGACCGCATCCTGTGGGTTGACGCACTATGCATCGATCAAGAAAATTCACGGGAACGCAACCATCAGGTCGGCCAGATGCCAGACATCTACAAAAACGCCGATTCCGTCATCTATTGGCTGGGACAACCAACGTACGCCACCAATGTCGCACTCGATTCGCTCAAAACCTTGGAGACGTTGTCTGCGTCCGTCGCGTGCAGGGATTGGACCGCGACGGACGGGAGATGGCAATGGCTCTGGTCTACCTGCCAGTCGCGACTGGCCAAGAAATACCCAGATCTGATCCAGAACCAGCGAAAGGGGCTACAGGATCTTCTGGAGCGGCCCTGGTTTGAGAGAGTGTGGATCATACAAGAAGTGGCCAATTCAAGAAGGGGCATTGTGTGCTGTGGTGCCAAATCCGTCTCTGCTCGCATCTTCGCTCTCTCATGCTACTTGTTTGCCTTCAAGCCTTCCAGCCAGGCACAGGCCATTCTCGACATCATGCCGTCCCACCCAAGCCGAGAGTCATCGCGAGGCCAGAAGCATGACCTGTACACCCTCTTATGCATGTTCCATTCCAGCAAGGCGCAGGACCCAAGGGACATGGTGTACGCCCTGCTCGGGATTGCCTCGGACCCGAATCTCAAGGAGGTGTTGAAGCCCGACTACGAGAAAATGGAGCGAGATGTGATCAGGGACTGCGTTGCATACTTTTGCAAACTGGACATCGAAAACTTGCCTGACTTCACTCTGGGTTACTGGAACGGGATGATCGATGACGAGACCATGCACGGATTCCTCAAGTCTATTCACTCCTTGTACGTGGCTGCCATGGACCAGCATCTGAGGGCCCCCGTTGAAGACGACACGGAAAACTTCATTATCAACAAGGGCCATCATGTCCGTATTACGAACGAGATGCTGGTCCAATGCGGCAAGCTTGGAGTGGAGTCATCAAACCTACTGGAGCTACTCATAAAGAGCCATGCAAGTCAAGCCATGCTCGAAAACGCCGCCAGGAACTGGCAGAACCTGGAGTGGCTTGATCTCCTTCTCCGCACTGAGCCGGACCGCGTCATAGATGCAGAGCCGGTCCTCATAGCGGCAACAAAAAATCCCAAGGCTGAGCAGGTCCTGTGTCGGATCGTCGAGGCACGCAGAGACGTGTCGCGGCTCACCACCCCGGTTCTGAATGCTGCGGCAGGTGCACCCTACCCAGACACCGCATTGCTTGCTTTATCCAGAATGTTCGAAGACGAATTTACGGTCACGGAGGATATGATTCTCATCTTGGAGGAAAACGGTTCGCCGCGAAGCCACACGGCTCTGAAGCAGATCGCACATCATCCAAGTGTATCGCCAGATTTGAAACTGCTCATTGTGGATGTTGCTAAACGGAAGTTTCGAAAGGAAGGCACTGAAATAAATTACGAAGACACAATGGCTATTTAGGAACGTGGTAAGAATATATGATGTACGAGTAGTTGTCCTCACTCAGTAGGGAAGAAGGTTGAATGGTATGATCATATTCTCTATCGACTTTGATGAAGCTCATGGGAATATTCGTGTGTAAAAGATTACAGAGAACCGTGTTCGTGCTCTTGCTACATTCATCACCCTCCCACTAGCACTTGTGATGATCTGCATCCCCACGATTATTTCAGCCAGTGGATTCCTTTGAACCGGCGGTCTGATGCGAGCAGGCGTTGACAAGGTTTAGATCCAAAAAAAAGGCGCGCCGTGATGCGCCCGACTTTGATGCGCGAATTAGCGAACTCGTGGAGTCGAGTTGGATCTGGGCCTTGGCCGCGGAGAACCTCTTACCGCGGACCGCGGCGAGGGATATATTGCGCATTAGACCAGTTCTCAACAGAATTATATAAGATGCATCTTTGATCTATGGTGGCATCTAAGCTCACTTGCACTTCAACTATTGCTCTCACTGGCCGAGTCTCAAGCGCTGCGATGGATCGAGCTTTAGAGAATCACACATCCTACATTGGGCGGCCGGCCTCAGAGCTACCCACGCCATCACTTATTGTTGATCTTCCGATCCTGAGAAGAAACGTCGATACTCTACACGAGAAGGTCGAGAAACTTGGGATTGGCTTTCGGCCTCATGTTAAAACTCTCAAGGTATGTCGGTGGCTATCACTTGGAATTTGAGCGGTTATTGAAGCAATTGGAACCTAGACACTCGAAATTACCCGCTTGATGTTAGCGGGAGGCAAGCATCGATCTATAATTGCATCGACAATCTGCGAGATTCGTGGTTGTATGCCGTTGGTTAAGGAGGGTCTTCTGGATGAAGTAAGTCTTACACTTGAACCCCATTGGCCTTGCCGAGCTTCTGTGCTGACAATAGAAGATTCTCTACGGACTGCCAATTTACCCGGGGGCGTTACAAGACCTTGTTAAGCTAAGAGAAAATGTGCGAATTCTGCTGCTGGTAGACAATGAGGAACACATTGATATTCTTGAGAAGTCGGGCACCCAGCCCTGGGATATTTTCATCAAGCTCGACGTCGGCTCCCGTCGTGCTGGTATTCCGGCAAATAGCATAGCCTTGCAAAAACTGGTGGAACGTGCCGACAGATCTTCAGCAGTGAACATTAACGGTTTCTATTGCCATGCAGGACACTCGTACGCCGGCAGGTCAATGGACGAGGCCCAAAAAAACCTCGAAACCGAAATATCTAGCGTTCTTAATGCGGCTGCGCTGCTGCCTGCTGATCGGGCCCTCATTGTTTCCATTGGAGCAACTCCAACTGCCCATGTTGTGGAGTACCTGAAAGCAAACATCCCATCAAATGTGAAGGTCGAGCTTCATGCAGGTATGACTTCTTGGAACTGTGAAGCGTCAAGTATACACTTTCTCAGTATGGCAGATATTGACTGACCATCTTCTTTGTCTAGGTAATTTCCCCTGCAACGATCTACAGCAGGTGTCGACAGGCTTAGTTTCAGACACTGATCAGGCAATCCGTGTTGCTGCCGAGGTCTGTGGCGTGTATCCAGAGCGAAATGAGGCTCTAGTGAATGCCGGCGTCGTTGCTCTGTCTCGGGAAAGCAGTGGCTATTCGGGGTTCGGTCGCATTATTGGGAAACCAGCTTGGGCGGTTGTGCGCTTGTCACAAGAACACGGAATACTTGGGACCAACGAGAGCGAACGAGTGGCTGAGAACTTCAAAATTGGCCAGAGGGTAAACCTCTATTGCAATCATTCGTGTATCACTGCGGCGGCCTTTTATGTCTATTTTGTTGTGGATGAGAATGATATCGTCCGGGAAGCATGGATCCCATGGAAAGGTTGGTAAGGATGGAAGATCAACCTGTGGAGAAATCAGCGCCAGGATGTTATATAAGTAACTATTATATGAGAGCCGGGACCGCATGATGCATGTGCCAATACGTACGTTTGAATGTTAGAAGCTAAAATAATCAAGAGGGACAACGCCTAGGCCCCCTATTGACAGGAAACAGGTCTCTCATCCTTAGTTCAACCCTGCTAATCTAATATCGAATGAGCTTCAGATGCAGCTTATCTTAGTAGCCGTCGTGCTAAGTGGAGCGGTTGTCATGAGCCTTATACGTTGCATAATGGTAATTACTGACGGGCCGAGGTGACCTGAGGAATCAGCCCTAACACTCGTCTGCATGGTTAGTTTGCTAGCCAGTCATTGTTAGGATCAAACGGATGGCCTTCCAAATAGCCACTAGCTGCTAACTCTTATCTTTATTAAATAGGGAGTCTGCTATTGGAAACTATGCCTACGATGGCATGGCTCTGAGTGGCTGAAACACGCCACCCGCGTCCCGTTATGAAATAAAACAGTCTTCTTTCTCCCATTTTCCTGGAGCATTTGAGCCGCCTTATGTTTTTAATTTCTTTCCCTTTCTATTTCGCCTTGAATCATTTACTTGGAGAGCAGATAATCGTCTTGGAAGAAGTTCACCGGAGAAGAATTCCATCTCTCAAATGTCCACGGAAATTGGCAACAACAACAGCAACAACACCAAGATGGGTCAGAATTCTGCTTTGGGGCGTATCATACAGGCCATCACAGCCGCCGCGCTTGTCGGCATTCTTGTTGTCCTCGCCCTTTTACTCATCGAGGTCAAGAAGTTCACCAACGAAGATCAAGGCCTCGTCGCTAGCCTGTCTTCCGATCCACTGGGCATAAAGATCGTGAGCGGATATAATGGGCTAGGTGTCAGCCCAAGTGCGCCCTTATACATGTCGGTCACGAATAGGTCATGATCATCTACCAAGAGGAGCCATTAAGTTCTGTCATTCTGGAAATGCGATCCCTATCGAGGTGGGAGTGTTATATGATAGTGGCTCTGAAGGGAAGGCTATTCGATAGGTATTGGAGCGCACATCGACCTGTTGATTCTGAGAGAGAAATAGGTAAAATACGTACGTAAAAAGGGAGGACTTGGGGCAGTCTGCAGTCTCCCAGAAATCGAGCCTTTTATTTCGAGAAATGTAATCCTTCTGAAGGAGAAGCCACAAACAGCCCCGTAAGGGTCGCTACAAACTTCCTGTGACAATACTTTATTTGGTTCCTTATATTTGCTGTCATCCAATTGAAGTTTTCTCCGGGTCCCCGAACTGATGAAGGGTAGTAACGATTTAATAAGTCAATCAATAAGTCGCGGCACCAAAGCCGTATGTAACATGCTATAATGTTACCGCAACAAACTCCACCCGCTTTTGAGAGTGCTTGGGTGCTCATGTCTACCTAGGTAGAGAGTGAGTGGGTCAGAGGATCAAGATGGGTTGTGAGCAGCCCTGAATTGCCTGCTTGCCCCCTTGTGATCGGCATTTTGGGCAGTTGTTCCTTGCTTACATGCATGCGAACGTGATTTTTCGTAGTGCTACCCCCCCTTTCGAGTTTTGGTAGCATTACACATAGAACCAGTTCCTCCAACTTCCTCTTCAGCCGATTCCAGCTAAATACGCCTTGCTCTGATGGACATAGTAATAGACCGGTCTGGCCATACTCTTGCATAATAGAGTCGCATTGATGCAACAATTATTATCTACTAGCACTAGCTTGGATCTCTTGTTCAGCCGTAGGACGATGTAACCTCAATGTCGGTTATGCCTGCCCCCCTGCGGTGGCAAATAACTTCCCAATCCTCCTAAACCATCATCATTCAGTCGTAGCGATACCTGAGGGGCGGGGCGTTCACGAAGTCCATCATACTCACAATTTTGCGCTATCACGAATGACACTGCCGAAGTGAGAGTTTGACGTGAACGAGCTCATTCGCTGCTGCGGACACGCCCCTCGATGGATCGTGATTCTGAGTCGAAGTCTCCCGTGGGGGGTCGGGCCGAGGAGGTCGAGGAGGTTCAGGCTCTGGATATTTGGGCCGCTGCTAAGAAATGGCACCGCATTGTCTGGTATTGCTTCGCATTGACATCTTGCATCATGATGTATGGATACGATTATGTGATTGTCGGGACCGTGTCTGCCATGCCCAGTTTCCAGTACGCTCTACCCCTTGCTCTTCTATCTCTTTGTTGCCCATTGATGCTAATTCGAGCCCGCAACAGAGAAGACTATGGCCAGAAATGGGGTGATGGGTGGATTCTACCTTCACTTTGGCTTGGTTTATGGAATTTTGCTAGTCCAGGTGCATCGATGGTCGGCGCTATTCTAGGCGGCTTCATGCAAGATTGGACTGGCCGACGAATGTGTATTGCTGTGGGCAGTTTCTTGTCCGCGATCGGTGTCGCTGTTCTTTTTGTCTCCAACCTCCCCACTGACATCACTTCGAGACGCGTCGTGTTTCTAGTGGGCAAGGGCTTTCAAGGAATGGCTATTGGAATGGTTCTCACAGCAACTCAGACCTACATGTCGGAGGTTCTCCCCCCAATCCTGCGGGGTTCCGTCATAGCATTTATCCCAACATTTGTTCTCCTAGGCCAACTCATTGGGGCAGGAGTGATATACGGCTGCACGAACATCAAGGATGGCTATATTATCTGCTTCGGGACACAATGGTTGTTCTCTGCTATCCCCATGGTGGTAGCGTACATCATTCCAGAGAGCCCGACATATTTGATTCGCAAAGAAAGATTTGGCGACGCTCTGAAAGCACAAGCAACGTTATTCTCACCTGGTATGGATTCTCAGGCCGCCATCGACGATATCAGACAGAACATAGATCATGAAAGAGAGCAAGCTAGGGCGACCTATCTGGATTGCTTCAGAGGCACAAACCGCCGAAGGACACTTGTTATCATGTTCTCAAACTTGTTGCCACAGTTTTTTGGTCTGTTGATTCTTTCAAAAGCTAGCTACTTTGCTCAAGTAGTTGGTATGAAAGCCAAGTTGAGTTTGATTGTTCTGGTATTTGGAATCTTGGCCGGATTCATTGCAAACCTAATTAGCATCTGGGTGATCTCGAAATTCGGGCGTCGCCTGTTAATCTTGCTTTCTCTATCAGTCGCGGGTGTTCTTTGGGCATCTATGGGCGTCGCAGGCATCTGGTCTGGACCCGTGGTTATTTGGTAAGCAATCATACTTTGTTTCCTATTAGGGCTGGAGAGGCTGCTAATATTTGCAATAATAGGTATGTGGCCATCGTCATGATTGTCATCGTTGTCGTTTCAGGACTTGGCGTATGGCCAGCATCCTACGCGGTTGCGTCTGAAGCTTCATCTTTAGACACTCGCGCCAAAGCTCAAGGAATCGGCTGGCTGACAGCTGGATTTGGCGGTGCTCTTTTTGGATTCTGCATTCCGTATATTTTCAATTCTGATGAGGGCAATCTGGGCGCAAAAACAGGATTCGTTCACGCGGGGTTTTGTCTCCTGGGCGTTGTGGGAACCTACTATTTCGTCCCGGAAATGAAGGATCGGACGCCGGGCGAGATAGATCGAATGTTTGAGCTGAAGTTGGATGCGAGGAAGTTCAAGTCTTGGTCGGCTTCTTTTTCACATGAGCCTTGACTTGCAACAAGGGCACCACTTATGAATATTAGCTCTTGTTCGGGGATATGTGAGGGGCTAAGATGTTAAGCGATACTGTTGGTGCCAGAAGGGTGGTGTATATATAGGCGGCAAAGAACACCAATTGATATCTCTATCACCGCTGACTATGCTCTCTGGTTTGGCGGAGCAAATTTCACTGAAGCAACAGTTCGACACTCCCCTCGTGACTTTCTAGTCAATGGGTCTTGAAATATGCAGAAATCCTGCTCATTAGCATGTTGAGCAATGCTTGAAAGGGAGAATAAAAACAGAAACACAACATAGTTCTCAGTTAATCATTTCAATTGGAGACTCGGCAGAGGTAATTTTTCTCTAATACGGAAAAGGTGGTATTCGATTTATCATCAATTCTCTAGTAGAGGAGCCATACTATGGACATTTTATAAACATCATCATAAATTCATTTCTCTCACATATTAAGAGTTTTAAAATTCATTAAGCAGACGCCTCGCCGTTCTGGGCAAGCAGATTGACCGTTCCGTTCCGGACATCGCCGATAATGCCCTGGAGCGCGATACTCTGTAGATACTCGCATAGCCCTGAGGCGGCCTTTCCTTGGCTCAAGAAGTAGGCACCGAGGCCAGCAATATGCGGTGTGGCCATAGAAGTACCACTCTTGACGCCAGTACCACCGTTGGGGATATCACTCTCCACGCTGACACCAGGACCGAAGATGTCGACAACAGAGCCGTAGTTGGAAAAGTAGGCAGTCTGGTCCTCGCTATCGGTGGCGCCAACAGTACATAAGGAAACCTCGGATGCAGGTGAGACGGTACCGGCGTCAATAGGCCTGTTGAGGAAATCACCATTACCAGCAGCAGCCGCGGCAAAGTAGCCTGCATCGACAAGAGCCTTGGCAGCGTCGTTAACGGCTTGCGTTTTGCCGCCGCCAAAAGACATGCTAACAACCACACCATTAGGACAGTCTCTGTTCGGAGCATCCTCAAGAACCTTCTCCATGCCGGCAATCATGGACGCGCTGTTTTAAAGTTGATGTCAGACAAATACAGATCCTCGTCTCTTGAGATGACGGGACACAACTTACTCAGAACCGTCACCAGCCCCATCGAAAGCCTTAATAGCATACAAGCTGGCATTTTTAGCGACACCGTACTGGGTTCCCGCAACAGTGCCAGCACAGTGAGTTCCATGAGAGTGATCGTCATAGTCGACATCACCAAATACAGTCGCTACCCAAGTAGCACGGCCCCCGAAATCCTAAAAGTAATTCGTTAGCATTGGTAGATTTCAGGCTGCAACATTCAAGGGGAAGCATACAGGATGTTCAATATCAATACCAGTGTCAACAACGTAGACGCAAACACCTTCACCTCCGCCTTCCTTGTATGTGTAGGTTGTAGAGCCGGGTGATTTATTAGAGAGACGGGCCAGACCCCAGGGGGCATCCTCCTGGGTAGCAAAAATGGTAGCCTTTCCATTCTGCTGGATGTAGGAAATCTACATCGTGAAAATTATCTTGTTAGATGGCTTCCTGTGAGAATTTGCATGCTAATGATAACTCACGCTGGGGTCGTTGCGGAGAGACTTAACCTCTGCATCTGTCAGAGAGGCAGAGAAACCACCAAGGTTGTTGTAGACGTAGTCTGCATTGGCGGCAATTGAACCGACTGCACTGTTGACGGACGAGACCTGAGCTCCGGCCTTCATCACAACAATGTATTTTCCCTCGATAGCATCCTCACCATCTCGAGTGTAGAGAGGAGCCCGTCTGACTGGACTGGCCACCGCTAAAGGCAAGGCAGCAAGAAGGAGTGAGGAACGCATGTTGATTACGATGGATGAGTGGCAAGGAGCTCTATGATTTTTCGGTTATAGTTAGAGCATTCGCTTCTAAAGGATAATATGGAGACAACAGAAACCATGATGAGGACACTGACATCTTCTTATAGAAACTTGTGATGGGCCCCGTATCGTTGTCTACACGCCTCGTGGAGAGGTGAGATGTCCACACTCATTTGTCCTTATATGGCAGGTGATGATAATACATAAGCTAAGACAAAGCAATTGCCAAATCCGATATGGGCCAAGGATCGTTTGGAATGGAGCAAGGATATAGAGTATAGGGGATCTATGGCACTCGCCTTGTTCATCACTTATCCTGCTAGGGAAGTTGTTATCCATTGAAAGGAATATGCTTGCCATAAAACGCCGCCAAAGCTCGACCACTGATTTCATTTAGAGTCATAATCGGGTATTGGTAGGATTTAACCTCGTTGATCTTCCCCAATCCA